AATATTTAATAGCCTGAATTACTGCTAAACATTCTAATTCAACAGTACTATAATTCTTTTCTGCAGGAGTTAATGTTCTACTAGCATAGGCTATTACATGTTCCTTTCCATCTTTTACTTGGGATAATACAGCTCCAAGTCCTTGATAGGATGCATCGGTAAATATAATAAATGGTTCGTTATAATCGGGATATTGTAATATTGGAGCAGTAATTAAACATTGTTTTAGGTAATTAAATATTCTATTATGTTCTTCTGTCCAAATAAATTCTACATCCTTTTGTAATAATTTGTTTAAAAGCGCAGCCTTTTTAGCAAAATTTTCTATAAATCGACAATAATAGGATGCCAGTCCTATAAATGCTCTTAATTGAGTGATATTTTTCGGTGAAGGTAATTTCTCAAGTTTTTCAACCTTTTGAAGATCAGGTTTTATACCATTTATTCCAACAATATGTCCAAGAAATTGCATCTCATTGGTACAAAAATAACATTTTTCAGGATTAATTCGTAAATTTGCATTTTTAATTAAAGAAAATATTGCTTTCAAATGTTCGATATGTTCCTCAAATGTTTCTGAATATATATTAACATCATCGATGTAGACCATAGCATACTTCCAAAGTGCTGGTTCAAGTACAACATCCATTAATCTTTGGAAGGTTGAAGGTGCGTTACAAAGTCCAAAGGGCATGACATTAAATTCATATAGGCCGAACTTTGTAATAAATGCGGTCTTTTCTTTATCTTCTTCTTTTACTTCGACTTGCCAGTATCCTGAGGTTAGATCAAGGGAAGTAAACCACTTTGCTTTCCCTAGATTATCCAACATTTCATCGATTCGTGGTAGAGGATAAGTATCTTTCTTAGTTATGGAATTTAATTTTCTATAATCTATACAGAACCTAAGCTTTCCATTTTTCTTTTTAACAAGGACTACTGGAGAACTCCAAGGACTTCTTGATTTTCGAATTATTTCTTCTTTTTCTATTTTAGCAATTTCTTCTTTTATGTGGTTTTGCTCCATAAGAGATGCTCGATATGCTTGTTGTTTGATAGGGTACTCATTTGTGGTATGTATACTGTGATAAACTACATTAGTTTGTTTTAGTTCAGAGAATTGAGTAGCAAATATATCAGAATTTTCCTTCAGAAAATTTGATATAATATTTTCTTGTTCTTGGTCTAGATTTGTTCCTATTAATGTAGTTTTGTCTTTGGTTATATTGATTTTATTGGATGGTGGTGGTTCATTTTTAGCTTCGATTTCTGGTTTAATCATTTTGAATAGGTTATCAACTTCTTTTGTTCTTTTATCTTCACTATTTTCAATCCTGATATTGGGCATCATGTTATTATCAACTTGGGAAAAGTATTTGTTTGTTTTGATTTTGGTAGTAAAGTATCGATCATTGTTTAGGTCTGCTTCATCTTCTTCTAATTCCAATTCATATTCTTTATCAATTAATTGTTTATATTTAATTGGATATAACTGAGTAGGTTTCTCTATTCGTTCCCAACATGTGATAGGGACATATTCGATATTGTCACCTTCACCTATCGACATTAGACCTGTTCTATAATCAATGACTGTTTTTACTAGGTCCAAGTATTCATTACCTAGAACCACATTATATTCTTGTGATTCAGTAACAATCATATCGATACTGATTTTATTGACTCCAATCCTAACAGAGACATCCTTAACTTTTTCTAAAGAGGTTGTTCTGTTACCAGTAATGTCGACAACTCGAACATTACTTGGTCCATCTATTGGTTTTCCTATTCGGTCCAGAAATTGTTTCGCAATTACACATCCTTTTGATCCAGTATCAATAAGGACATTAACTTCATGACCAAAGATATGAGCAGTAGAGAATAGAGCATCTTGTACAGCTTCTTCTTTTAATTCATTTTGTTCTAAGCTGTGATTTAATCCTCTAATTTCAATTATTTCATCATCATTATCATCCTCCAACCAGATATTGTTGATATTATTTTCTTCGTCGAGATTATTAGTTCCAGTATTTATATTGTTTCCATTATTTATATTATCATTATCATTAGTAAGACTATTATAATAATTCATAATTTCTTTTTCTAGATTTTGTAATTGTTCTATTGATGAGGGCTTTGAATTACCGACATGCTCACCCTCAGGAGATGTCTTTTCTAGTTTAA